ATGACCCCCAAAGGAGACTCAGGGGGGCCCCAACGAGTCACGCTGGTGCTGTGTGTGATGTCGGTACTGAAGGCTCCATGGGCAGAAGCTGAACTGAGCAGGCACCCTAAGCATGCTGGGATCATGTGGTGACCTGAGGGCCCAGGCCCCATCAGCTTGGGGACACCCCATATGTGCTTGGTGGCCTTTAATGGGAAAAAGAAGGACTGGTGCCATTTTAAGGCAGAAAAAGAGGGAAGAAAGTTTTCAGAAGAGAAGGAGCAAGTGATAGCTCCCACCGTTGGGCGGGGACAGAATGACACCGGAAAGGAAAAAACTCCCTCAGGGTTCAGTGGCCTCCATCCCATCTTCATCGCATTGGCTGCTTTGTCTGCCTTCAGGATGACCCACGATACTAGGCGTCAATGCTTGACCTCCCGAGAGGCAGGCGGGTGGAGGCCATCGGCCAGCCGGTCTGGGGCTGCTGCACAGGGCTTCGCACCTATTCGCACAAATATGTATTTGGTCTTTGTCTTGGTTCCTGGCACACAGCTCCTAAAACTCATGGAATCTCCCAAAGCGAGGAGTGTCTTTTGCATGCTAATGAGATGACAGGTGGCTGTGGGGGTGGGGGGTGGAGAGAGCTTCAGGACAGGGGCTGGTGGCCAGAAAGACCAAAAGCATGAGTAGGGGGGTTGGAACTCTCAGCCCCGCCCCGGGGGGGGGGAGGGGCTGGAGACTGAGTTCAATCATCAATGGTCAATGACTTAATCAATCATGTCTGGGTAATGAAACCGCCACAAATAACCCTCAATGTCAGAGTTTAGAGAGCTTCCTGATTGGGGAACACATCGAGATNTTAATTAAAATTTAATGCAATTAAAACTCCATTTCTCAGTCGCACTAGCTACCTTTCACATGCTCAGTAGTAGCTATTGTACTGGACAGCACGGGGGGGAGGGGGCGGGGTGGTACCCAGAGAGGGCCTGGAAGTCCTGCCTCTCCCCCACACCTTGCCCTCTGCATCTCTTCCCCTTGGCTGTTCCTGAGTTGTATCCTTTATAATAATAAACCAGCAATAGCAAGTAAAACATTTTCCTGAGTTTTGTGAGCTGTTGTAGCAAATTGTTAACCCTGAGAAGGGGACTATGGGAATGCCCCCAACTTTATAGCAGGTTGGTCAGAAGTATGGGTGGCCTAGGACTTGTGGGGGCAGTCTTGTGGGACTGAGCCCTTCAGCTGGGGGGTCTGCTCTCACTCCGGTAGTGTCAGAACTGTGTTGACTTGTAGCACCCCCAGTTGGTGTCTGGAAAACCAGAGAATTGGTTGGTGTAAGGAAAAACTCCACCCATTCGCCGTCAGAAGTGCTGTGAGTAAAAACAGTTCAGTGCCCCCCAGGGAAAAAGTGGCTTCACCAGCCCTCTTGGAGTCTGTGAGGACACAGGCAGCGGCCCATGGGGCCTGGGGACAGGAGGCCTGGAGACTGGGCTCAGAGCGTGGAGCACAGGCAGACCTGAGCTCAGCTTTAGCTGTGTGTCCTGAGGGCTGTGGACCAACCTCTCTGGCAGGCCTCAGTTTCCTCCTATGTAAAATGGGCATCACCCCTCCCCCCAGGCTGTCCTAAGGCTGTGCGGGGACATCATCGTGTCTGCAAACACTCAGCACAGGGCCCAGGAAAACAAGTCAATTCTCTGGCAGGGAATGACCCAAATGGCCTGTTGCAAAGTCAAGGGCAGTGGAGCAATCTTTGCGGGGAGACTTCTGGCCAAGGTTCCAAACCACACCCTGAACCATGCCAGCTGTGTGATGTTCAGTAAGTCACACACCTTCTCTGAGCCTCTGTTTTCTAATCTATAAAACTGAGATGGATGAAAGTGAACACTTACAAAGCGCCCCCCCCCACCACCCACCATGAGCCAAGGTCTATGCTCCACCTTTTTGACCTTGACTCATGTAATCCTCACAACAAGCCTGCAAAGTGGGTACCGTCATCAACCCCATTTTATAGAGGAGGAAACTGAGGCTCAGAGAGGCCAGGCCAGGATTCACACCCAGCAGGCTGTGTCCTGACTGTTAGCCAAGGCAGATCTTACCAGATTATTGCATGAATCTAATCAGATCGAAAAAGTAGAGTAGAAGGGCAAACGCCTTTGAAACCATCAAAAGCTAAACCAATATCAGCGGTTATTGTTGTTGTTATTGCTATAACCGTCCCAAAACCCTGAGTCTAGTGATAAGGCCCCAAATTTCCCCACAGGGACTGATATTGCCTTTTAAAAATAGGATCAAGGCTCTCAATATAAGTTAAGGAAACCAGGCACCCTGGGGAGGAGAGCATCGTTGTAATAAAAAAAAAATCCTGATTAATGGAAATGATTCTTAATATATTTCAAAATGATCTGTTATGACACAAAGCAAAGACATTTATATACGACTTTGAAATTCTTAATAGCTGGTTTTGGAGCAACCTATTATGAAATCTTCCAAAGCAGAATTTATAGTGAGTAAATCATCAGGCAGGCCTCCCAGGCAGACTGACGGCAGCTCCTCTTAAAATAATTTATATGCTGAGGTAGGGGGAGGCTGAGAGAAATTATTGCCGTAATCATGTATTAATAAAATATTTATAAATGTGACTTCTTCTTTTACCGTTACAGGCAGCTACAGGTATGGGTCGGGTCCCTGAGCCCACATCAGAGGGGATGTCTCAGGTGCCCCAGGAAGAGGAACTCAGGCATCAAATGTCCCCGGTGATGTCAATAAGCTGAGGGGCTCCCTCAGCCTCTGTTTTGTCACACTGGAGGCGGAGAGGGTTCAAGTGTGACAATGGAAATCGGGAGACAGGGCCCACCCGTCTGCAAGACTCTCTCTCTTCCTAGATCTTGCAGAGAGCTTGGACAAAGCTGGTCTATTGGAGTTGAGTGCAGCTGAGAGGCTAGCGGCTTGGCCACCTTGGGAGAGTGACCCAACCCAGGCTCAACGACGCAATGGCCGAGCTGCCTTCTGCTGAGGGATTGCCTTGAGCTCGTCGCTATTGATGACTTGTCCACCACCCCTTGCCCTGGCCATCCCGTAGGTGCAGCCCCACATCTGTCCCTGGCCTGTCACTGCAGGTACCCGTCTGTGTGTCTCCTTTGTCTGGCTGTGGGAGTGTGCTCAGCTCATGCACAGGGCAGGCCCGAGGTGCAGCTTCAACCAGGGAGAAGCAGCGATGGGTAAAAACCCCAGCGTCCTCTCCTCTTGGGTATGTTTCTCAGAGCCTCCCAGAGGCCCCCAGAGGGACTGAGCCCCAGTTGCCCGAAGGTAGCTTGCTCATTAAGGCATCCAGCATCACTCGCTTTCCGTTCCCTGTCTCACTTCGCCCACTCCCTTATCGTGCCTCCTGGGATGCCCTCCCTCAGAAAAGCTACATGCACCCAAGTCTTTTTCTCAGGGTCTGCTCCAGGGACACCCAGCCTAATTTAGCTTCCTCTTTATCCCATTGAATCTTCACATCAACCCCATTCTTAGCCCGTTGAAGGAGGAAACCACTAAAACTCAGAAAAGTTTGGGTTTGAACTCAAATCTGGCTATTGCCAGAGTCCATGCCCTGTAGTTTATGGCACCTAGACCTTCTGAGTCTCAGTTTTCCATTCTGTGAAATAGGTTTGCTTCCTTCCACACACACCAACCTATAGAGAGGTCCATGCCCAACCCTGAACCTTCATAGCTTTCCTGGCCTACCCTGCGCCATGACAACCCCACTCTCAGTCAGCTGACAAAGCTGGCTAATGGTCTCAAGTGTAGACATCTTATCTCTCCAAATGAGATGACAAACTCACAAGGAGGGACCTTATCTTTAATTCAAATACCATATCATTTGAATAACTTATACTTTTCATATGTCCCCTTATATTATTCCTATATATACTTTTTTTTCCATCTAATTAAAATGTGAAAACTATTCTTAGTTTGAGGGCTGTCAAACGGCAGGCAGCGGCTGGACTGAGCCCACAATACAGGGCACCACAAGCCCTATGAAGGCAGGAACCACACAGCTCTAGATCCTGCTGTCTCCCCAGGACCTTTCACAAAGAGATGGCAGAAGACACTGGATGAGGGACGTCAGGAGCCTTGAATGCCGAGCCAAGGAATTTTCCTTGATTTAGCAGGAAAGGGAGAGAGCCTCAGAAGGATTCTCAGCAGGGGAATGGCATACTAGGTTTATGTTTTAGAAAGAAGCCCAGTGGTTACAATGAGGATAGACAGAAGCAAGAGTGAAGTCATCAGCAACAGGACTACTGCAACAGTCTAAGCAAAAAAATAAATAAAATGCCAAAACCCAATTTAAAATAATAGTACACGTAGAAAAGCCAGGATAAAAATGCTGTCACAGGGAGAATCTCCAGGGTCAGGTGAACGACTGGGTAGGGAAGGGTGCGGGCAAGAGGGATGATGAAAGCCACTTGGGAGGCCAGGCTGAAGTAGGGACAATCAGCAGACAGACAATTAAGGAGGCGGAGCAGGCTCAGGGGGAGAAGAATGGGGTTGGCGTTAGCACATATGATGGGGGCGCTTTCAAGACGTCCAGATGGAAACAGCTCACCTTTATTGCATGAACCTAACCTCCTCTCCCCTGTTGTAGAGCTTCTCTGCTCAGTACTGTAGCCGCCATTGGCTATGTATGGCTATTTAAATTTATGTTAATTAAAATTTAATGCAATTAAAACTCCATTTCTCAGTCGCACTAGCTACCTTTCACATGCTCAGTAGTAGCTATTGTACTGGACAGCACGGGTAGAGAACAACCCCATCATCATAGAAAGTTCTGTTGGACAGTGTTGGTCTGAAAGATTCACTTGAAGAACCCAGCCCTGTTTCCTTCTCTCCATGCCTGATTCGGCAGGGTCCCGAAGAAGAAGCAGTCCCGGACACAGGAGATGACACTGACCCTGTCCCGCCTCGTTGAGAGAAGGGCTTTGTCAGGCACCTGCCAATGGAGACAGCTGGCAGCCCAGGTGAGCTCGGCAGGAAGGACATACCTTTGCAGGCCCCCGCCGCGCCAAGGTGGTAGATGGCTGCCAGTACCCGCCAAATGGCTCGCCGCTCGCCCTCCGAAATACCCAGCGTCTCCATGGCAGCCTGGAGCTGGGCGAAGGCAGCCGCCGCCCTCTGCTTGTCTTCAGGCTGAGAGCAAAAGGGAGAGAAGAAGGAAAAGAGGCCATCATTGTGGAGAAAAAAACGCAAGCTCACAATGCGAAGCTGAGCTCAGCCTCGGGGGGGGGGCGGGCTGGGGGGACATGTGGCCACTTTATGACCACAGTAAATGACCCACAATTAAGCCGAGTTGTGAACTCAGACTGCTGGGGAAGTGATGAAAATCATTTCTATCTGACTTTGGAAGACAGTGTAGTTTTTATTTTTCATGTGTTCGTTCAGTAGATTGATTGAGCCTCTGTTCTAGGCCGGGCTCTGGGAATGCAAAGACGAACAAAACTCTGGAGTTGACTCTGAGGACCTCTCAAGGTAGCCGTGGAAAGAGATGTCAAAGCAGCTAATGGTGAAACAGGCCTCACTGGCAGGATGTGGGTATCAGTAGGGAACTACAGGAAATCAGAGGTAGGCATGCGCTGATGAATCCTACCCAAAAGAATCCAAGAGAATGCCATAGAAGATGAGACAAAACTGCGATTGAAGTATGAAAGATAAACAGGCAGAGTAGACCAATTTAACGTAATAAAGGTCCTGATAAGTAGAGGGAACAACATGAACAAAAGGAGATCTTTCTTTGGAGACAAGAGGTGGTCAAGTGAATATGAACAGGAATCTTTGTTGGTAGGGCAGACAGAGAAGGGGAGGAGAGAATGCATGAGAAGCTTGCAGATGCCAACTGTGAAGGCCTCAAACACAATATCTAAGGGCATGAGCTTTACACTCCAGCCATGATTCGCATGCCTACCTCCATTCCTGCACAGGTGGCAGACATCACTAATTGATTAAGATCCCAAAGCCAGCCAGTGAGTCCAGATTCTTTGCAGGACATCACCCCCTGCGGCTGCCACCAACTGATCTGACTCAGCAACTGAAGGGGAACCTGTTTGCCACCTCTGGTGCAAGCAATGGGAAACTGCCAAAGATTTTTTTCAGCAGGAAGAAAGAGAAAATGACACGATCAGATGTTTATGGGTTGGAAGGTATTGTTTTTCTTTTTTAGATTTATGATTCCAATTACATTTGATGGAATATTAAAATTAGTCTAAAACTCCTGCACACACACCATCTGGCCAAGGAGGCTCAGCCCAGAGGCCTGCTGGGTTGAGAGGAAGTGAGCCAGGGACAAGATTTCTTTTGTCAATAATCCACCAGCAGATAATGAGAAACTGATTTGCACTTGGACTGCATACAGAGTGTGGGTGATACACTGTAGGCTGCGAAAGCTGGGAGGTCCTTGAATTTTGTGGAGTCCAGTGCCCAGAGAGGGGACAACGCTTGCCCAAGGTCACACAGCAAATTAATATAAGACACAGGCCTGGAACCAGGATTTTCTGACTCCCAGTCCAGGCCACTTGTCCCCTCCATTCAAGCCACTTCTGCTAACTGGGAAAGAGTTCTGCAAGGATCCTTGACCAATTGGGATGACGTCAAAGCATGCAGTGACATTGAGAGATTCGCTGTGGAAACATTCAATTAATAGCAAAAGCCTGTTCCACTGATCCATCATATTTCTGGGCCACCACAGGACCACAAAATCCCTAGCAACCAGGAGCTCAACCTAGCAACTGCAGCTGCTCCATTGGAGCAAACGGAGGGAAGGAAGGCATCTTACCAACATGGTTATTTATGAGATTTCAAAGTAGCCGAGAAAGGACACGAAAAGGACAGTGGCGACACATTTATTATGACTCCCACTGTCAGCCCTGAGCATTGGACTTTAAATTACAGGCAGACTCCATCATCTGCCACTTAGCTCATGTGAACAGAAGAATGAGAAAACTTCTGCTAAAGGGGAATTTGCTTCTTTTTCTCCCCCTCCCCACCCCAAGTCTCTGTAGTCACAGGAGACATGGAGGGACAATTATATATGCTTCTAACCCCAAAATGATTAGGATTGGGAAGGTATTCACTTAAATTTCTAAAGAGCCAAACACCTCTGCATAATGTCCTGAGCAAAGCTGCTCCTTGCATCAAAATTGTGACAATAGAAATCAGTCAAATTAGTGAAATAAGTCAACTCAGAGCCCAAATGTCCATCCACAGGAGAATGGATAAACAGGGAGGTATAGCCGGGGAATGCTAGGGAGTACTAGGCAGCAATGAAAAAGAAAAGCCGGGGCGGCCTGTTAGCTCAAGTGTTAGAGCGCAGGCTCATAACACCAAGGTTGCCGGTTCGATCCCCACATGGGCCTCTGAGCTGCGCCCTCCACAACTACATTGAAACAACTACTTGACTTGGAGCTGATGGGTCCTGGAAAGACACACTGTTCCCCAACAACAACAACAAAAAGAACAAGCCACTGACACACGCTAACCACATGTCTGAATCCCACAGACCCAATGTGAGTCAGGGATGCCAGAACAAAAGACTACACACTGCGTGACTCCATCTACGTGAAGTTCAAGTGTGAACAAAACCAACCTTCGGGAAGAGAAGGGTACTTCTGGGGGGGAGGGGGCTCCAGGGAGCCTCCTTCATCTGAATGAGGAATGTTCTAGATCTTGACGCGTGATGTGTTTGCAGGTGTGCTTAAGAACACAATCGTGGGGCGGCCAGGTGGCTCAATTGGTTAGCGCGTGTGCTCTTAACAACAAGGTTGCCGGTTCGACTCCCGCATGGGATGGAGGGCTGTTCCCCCTGCAACTAGATTGAAAGTGGCGACTGGACTTGGAGCTAAGCTGCGCCCTCCACAACCAAGATTGAAGGACAACAACTTGACTTAGAGCTGATGGGTCCTGGGAAAACCCCAATGACCCTTTTCCCCATTTCCCCAAACCGTTCCCCTCCCTTACACCCCAATTAAAATCTTTAAAAAAAAGAAAAAAAGAACACAATAATTATCAAGTTGTACACTTAAAATTAGGGCACTTTATACACTTCACTGTATGTTTTACCTCAACTAAAACAAACCAAAAAAATTAATGTAAAAATAGTCCACTCACAAGATGCCCTGGGTCTGTCTGATGCAGTCAAAGACTCAAGGTCAACCAAAGACTGCAGGTCATTTAAGGAAAAAAAAAAATGAAATCCAAAATGTTCTGTGTACATTAAACTGGGCTGCTTTGAGAGCACCCAGGAGATTCCAACGTTGCAGAGACCAGCGCTGGATCTGGGGTGAGACAGCCGGATGTTCTCTCAATCCTGCATTCCCAGTGGTGTGACTTTGCACAGTTCTCTTGCCCTCGCGCTGAGGCTCAGTTTCCGCTTCTGTAGAATGGAAAAAATAGCCTACCCTCCTCCTAGGGCTGTGTGAGGAGTAAATGAGTTGATGTATGTGAAGTGTCCAGCACAGCGCCTGGCACACAGTGGTGCTTGATAAATGCTGGCCTCCACCACCACTGCCTCTCTCCTGCAATGCCTCAGCCTGGCTGTTTGGCCTTCCAGGGACACCTTCCCCACCGCTGCCCACATTCATGCCCAGCTCTCCAGGTAAAGCAACTCAGGTGTGTCCTCCTCGAGGGGCATCTGGACCAATGAGGAAACCAATGTACAGATCATGACAGCACAGAGTGAGTTCCGGGGGCCGGGAGGCTCTGGGGAGGGCAAGGAGCCGCCTGAGAGGGTCTGAAGCTTCTCAGAAGAAGTGAAATAAAGAACAAACATAATGAGCAAGGCAAAGTGGGTGCTGGGAGGCAGGGGGGTCTCCAAGCAGAAGGGCACAGGGCAGGGGAACATGGTATGCTGGGTGCCAAGGACCAGCGAAGAGCAGCGGGTGGCCACAGTTTGTATATGGTGGAGCGCATGGCTACTGGAGGCCTCCCTGGCCAGGAGAACTGGCACCGGGGTGTCCTTTCCCCGGGCGATAAGCACAATGGGGGGGCCTCGGGTAGGCCTGGATCTGGCTAGGCCTCATGGGGTGTAAACCAAGCCCCTGTCCTCCAGGGCCACGCAGGCTCCCCTGTGTCTCCACAAGCAACCAGCTCAGGGAATTACCACCCCTCCGCCCCTTGTCCTAGAGCCTCTAGAAGGAAAATGCTGAGCATTGATTTGATTCTTTTGCAAATAAAACATTGGTGCCTGCACAGCTAGGTGACCTCGTAGGGCTGTGAGGAGGGCAGGACAGATGTCATCCAGAGCCAGGCACTCCCCATTCCCAAGTGACTCTGTCCTACGCTCAACACTGATCAATCCATGTCCTCTCTGGGCACTGGGAGTCCCTCTAAAGAGGGAGGAGAGAAAGTGTTAATTGAGCACCTACTATGCTGTACTAGGTGCTTTTACCCTGTAAGGCAGTTGTGGGTCTCTCCAATTGACAGAGGAGGAAACTGAGGCTCAGAGAGGGTTGGGCACTTATCCAAGGTCACCCAGTTGGGAAAGGGCAGAGTCACCATATGCTAAATACTCTACTAAGCCCCCAATGCTAGGAGCAGACCAAGGAGTTGGGTGTTGCTCTACCCATTCGACAGATGGAAAAACTGAGGCTGAGAGAAGATAAGTGACCCAAGGGTACACAATGGGTCAGATCCCAGAGCACATGGTCTTTAGCCATGACAGGACTGAAATGACAGAGTGAGAGGAATAAGAGCATCAAGAGTGTCAAATTTGGAGCCAGGCCAACCTGGATTCCAGTCCTGCCTCTGCCACTTAAAAGCTGTGTGCCCTTGGGAAAATAACGTCACCTCTCAGAGCCTGAAAAACAGATATGCTAGTAACCCTCAAAGGACCATTAGAAGGATTAAGTAAGAGAAAACTCCCAGCAGAGCCCCTGGCAGGAGTGCATGTTACCCCCATACTGTCCATTGGGAGACTGTTTCTTGGCTGCTGACACCTGGATGAAAAAAAAAAAATGTCCCCCAGGCCAAAGCCCGGAATGTAACAGCCAGAAGCAAACTGCTGGGAGGCAAAGACTATTATTATTATTATTACCACTGCTGCTGGGCACTTTTTTAAAAAAAAAATCAGTCTAGGTTGCAGAAAAATAAATTATAGAGAAGAAGAAAATAATATGAAAGCTTTGTGATTTCAAATGTGT